GAAATGGTGAAACCTGTTCCGCAAATATTGATCAAATTAAACCCTACTTCGATCGTAATAAAATGAAAATCTTTTCAGATCTTTTGCAAGATCCGGTACGGCAGACACCGCAGGTACAAGTTCCAGAGGTGGGAAACGACAAGTACAAGGGCAAGCCCATGAGAGACAGAAGCAAGTGAAAAGAAAATTGCCCCGCGGAAAAACTGAAGGTAAAAAGAAAAAGAAGCCGTTCCACCGTCCAGAAAACAGAGTTGCACGAACACCCCCAGAATGAAGAAGGGAGAAGGACGACGTAATGTGGGAAAGGACGGCAACTATAACCCGGCTGTGAAACGGAAGATTGACTCATCCGACAGAACTCTCCTGCAGCAAAAGTCGCCGAACTGCGGAAGGGCCATCAGCGGCGGAGGAAAAAGTACAAGAAAATTTTGAACGGCCAACAACGAGGTCCAAGCAGGATCACGACAGAAGTTTTCCCGGTTCCACCAAGACCAGCTGCCTTCAAACGGCCAAGACCACAAGCAGAGCACAAAAGGAAGGTGTTCAAGGGTGGCCGTACTGGTGAAAAACGGAAGCTTCCAGAGGAAAGCACTGAAGGGCGAGCCCGTACAAGAAGGAGGATCAACCAAGCTACTATCAGCTATACCTTTAAAGACTGGGCCCAGAAAAGGATGTCTGAATATTACAAAGATAAGTAAAATTTTATGTTACTTTACAAACTTAAGTTAATCTTTCATTCTTACTGCAAGTGGCAGATTTCAAGAAGTTTTACCTCATGCGAGGTCTACCTTTATCGCCAAAAGGGCGAGAAATGAGTTGTGACCGATTTTCTTATTATGTTTTTCAATTACTTGCGCGTAAAACTAAAGTTGATGTATAATAGCGTTGTGTAAAGACTTAAATATTGTAAAAAGTTATTGTATAAATTTTTATTTAAAACATTCTAGCAAGAAAGAAGTTTTAGTCTGAAAGACTTTTTGAAATGTAGTATTATTTCAATGTAGAAAGAATTGGCACTTGCTTTGAAAAGAATAGAAGTTAACAATGTACTACTAATGTATGTTTTCAAATGTGTAAAATTAACGGCATGTTGATATGTTCTTGTATACATGTGAACTGTTATTTTGAATGTTAAGAAATACCGTGATATGGTAAAAGTGAAAGTAATGTTAAAAATTTGTTATTCGTGTGACTGTAAAGATTAAATCATGGTGAATATGTGTTAAAGGTTGAATGATGTAGTTAGGCTCTCTGACGCTACACTTTTAGAGTTAGCCACTTTCAGAATAGTACCTCAGGGTTTAGAGTTGAAAGTAGGGTGTGTTAAGAGGTCTCATATGTTGAATTTTAACACGTTAGTGTTTTGATTGTAGGAGGAAGTGTGGCACACGTAGACAGAAACACATTCGTGTTTGGTGTTCTTTTACAACACATGTCAGAGAGCACGGGGAGAGATAATTAAAATAGTCATGAATGAAATAAGAATGTTAAGAGAAGTATATTCTATATGTTACTTGCCAATGTCATTGTGTAACATTTCATTAAACTAGTTTTCCTTCCAGATCTCTGGAAGGAACCAGAATTGAATAAAGCTCCTGTTTAGATGCAGTACAGATGAAAAAAAAAAAAAAAAGATTGTTGTATATCCCGGGAGCTGCTATTGTAACAAATTTCTTTCTTTTAAATTTTCTAGTTTCTAGCTAAGTTATGATTGTAAAAGGTTGGCCTCGCGTTAGTTTTTAGAGCTAAAAGTTTTCAACAAGGTCGTTTTAGACCTCAGTTTCAAACTAATTAACTCTGGCGGGAAGTATGTAAGGATCTTAAGTTTTACTAACGTTTTTTATTTTAAATCTTTACTATCACTTCTTATTTTCTACTTCCGGCCAGAATTATAAGCGTGAAGGATTTTATGCAAAGTTGTCTGGCGAACGCCAAGTATTTAAGTGTGGCCTTTTTGCCAAGCAGAGAGAGGAAGCAGTGAGTTCGAAGCAGGCCGCTTACCTTAGAAGTTACGCAGTTGCTATTTGCCTTCCAGGCCAGAGGTTTTAATCCTCTTGATAAATTAAACGTATTGTAGTGTTCACAGTCTCTGTGCTACATACGCTTCCTGTTATTATAAGGCCAATCTTATTCTAAAGTTAAATTAGAGTTTAGTTTTTTTTTATACCTTTTACGTTAGACCCCGAGTGGAGGGTCATTGTATTCCGAAGTACGGAAGTCATTGTATATAAAGAAAAATAAAGGGTCTTGTATACCCTTCGTCTGTATCCTGTCTACTTACTACAATTAGTGAACATAGCTTTAGTAAGCTCTCTGTTCCTAGTCAGGTCATTGTATGTTTCCGAAGAAGGTTAGAAGAAACATTGAACCTGATAACTTATAACTATAAATTACAGAACATGCCCAAATTTTACTGTGCTGAAGTAAGCTCATTAAATCTCTCTCTTTTTTTATATAAATATATTTCACAAATGCTCTGTATGTCCACCTTTACTGACATCAATGCCACATTATGGATACATATGGATATATTAGAAAGTTGGCTAATGTCACACTGAATAAAAACAGTAATGATTTTCACCAAGAAAATTATTTAATTCATCATTTGTATAAATATCTCAGTCAAAATTTGCCAAAAATTGGTTTCATGTCATTCCAGCAAAGCCTTGAGGACAATCTGCCTAACGGGAAGGATGCCTTTGTGGAAGATTTTCTAAGGGAAACTGGTTCGTATACACATTACACATAGGGCCACAAAAACGCCCATGCAGCCAGTCTGTTTGCTGGATTCAAACATCGGACTAAACTACCAGTGTTCAGCGCCTTTACCACTCGGCTGCTGGTGGGCCCCCATAAAACTGGAAAGAATATACAGGACGAAGAAATGACATATTAATGTACTGACATCTAAGTCTTTGGATTTAATCCTATGTGATTTCCTTCTTGCAAGGCTTTTTCAGGAGTACTGTTTTTGTGTTTCCGTCTCCCGTCAATTTCCAAGATCCTTGCAAGTATATCACAGATGCTGTGGCTATACAGTTGATCATGGCAACTAGTATGGACTTGGAATGAAATGGTTTTCACACAAATCTCTGCTATATCAGCAAAGGTAAACACATTCAGCATTTGCAAAAAATGTTGGGGAAAAAAAGGCTTCTGACAGTTTGCTTTAATTTCAGTATGATAAAATTTGTATTGATCATGGGGTTTATTTGAAATAATTTTTTTAAATGCTTCACAGAATTATGAATAACCCTTTGTTATTCTATATTTTAAATAACAGTCACACATGTATAAAATGAAAGAGAAGGAAAACTGCTTACTTTATTTCCTGAAGTAGATCTTTGTGCAACAGCAACAGGCCGAATGCCTGCTGCAGTTTCTTTGTTTGAAGTTGATGTTATAAGGTTTAATGCCATTCCTCTTGATAATTTATGTATTTTCTCAGTATCTGGAGAAGAGGTATTTATATACACTGGCTGTGGAGTAGATCCAAAAGTTGCTGAAGACTGAGATGATCCCCCAAAGAGAGAACTGGAAGTAGCTATAGGCTGTGATGGAGACACTGCACTCCGAAATGGGGATACCATATTGAGATTAGGTTGTTGAAGGTTACTTCCTAAAATGTAAATAACACTTTTAATTTTGCAGTATGAAAATCTCAGATTATGACCTAATACTAAAAGGAATTTAACATTAATATGTTTTCAATTAAAAGAAAAAATAATTAATTTACTGCATTCATTGTTACTAATTTTCCTGAAAAGATTGGTAATGATAATGGTCAAAATATTTTGTTATGATCTGAAACAATATCATAAAAATGAATGTTTAAAAAAATCAAACTACCATATATTACTGAAAACAAGCCTATCCATGTATAGCCAAGAATGTGTATACATGGATCTGTTCTATGTCAAGAGTGTGTTCTTCGAAAATTTACCCAAAATTCAAAACATGCAGATAAGACAAAATGGGGGGCAAAAATGCTGTATCATTCAATCATTCACCAGGAGGGCAAAAATGTTGCCAAACAGGTAAGATGAGTGGATTATTTTCCAATCAAATTATTGTCTGGTAACTCTATCTGAAGCTAGCAAAATTTTCCCATTCATTTATTGTCTTGTATATGATCTATGGTATCTGTGCTGGTCTTGTTTTCTGTGGAAGAGAGATTCTTATATGGAAAATTTCAAACTACAGGTGATCACAAGTGATAAAAATTCTGACAATACTATGGTTGTTTTTTTTTTTTTCCCCCTCTTGTACGAAGTAAAAAGGAAGTATTGTAATCGCGAAAAGTTTCAGGCAGCATATTTCAACGAAAATATCCATTTTGACCGCTATCGAATGCAACTTAACGATGTTTTTGCGTGACATCTGTACATAAGGACAGAATAAAAGACTTTTCCTCCAAAAAAATTATAAAACTGCTTTAAAATGAATTCTGAAGAGAATTTTTTGTGGTGTCTGTACGAACGTATGTACTTACGTATCTCGCATAACTCAAAAACGAGTAGCCTCAGAACGTTGAAATTTTGTATATAGGACAGCTATAACATGTAGATGTGCACCTTGTATTTTGGTTGCAATCAACCACACCAAACGTATATAAATATATTTATATATATATCCCCTCTGTTACTTGGCTCAGTGACCTCAGTTTCTTTACTCTTATACATTTGTAAATTGTGCATTTTTTGCTTTAAAAATGATTGAATTATGTTATTCTTATCTTCTGGTTAAGGTTTTTATGCCTTTCGTAAATCTGAAGCAATATTTGTACAATTATCAACAATTTAAAAGCTGTTTAAGTGCGGTTGAGTTTTAAATAACATGGCGGACATATTTGTTTACATTTGAAACAGAATAATAGTAGATTTGTTGCCAATCTAGAAAGACTAAGCTTCACAACAACAAAGATAATGCCTTCATTTATTATTGCGAATTAAATCATGTTTAATCCTTTCTGGAATTTTTTCGAGGAAATAAGTGTTTAAAATTTACTTCGTAATTTTTAATACAGATATTTTGAGTTTTTAGGTATTTTTGCCTTGTCGCGAAGTGAGAACTGAATTAATTGAATGAGAAATACTGGATCATCTGAGAAAAACTGTTTCTTTTTTGTTTTGCTTAATTTCTTTTATACATCGTTCTAGCTTTATTATAGTACTTGAATAGAACATGTGGCAACGATAAGATAATTCTTCAAATGATATAAATTTTGTGCATTCTGAGTTATAATATGAACGAAATATTAAGTGAACCTAGCGCCAGAGTTTCGCTATGGTAAATAAATAATGAATTTTAAAGAATGCATTTATTCTACTGTGGTTTATGCGCTGTCGACGAAGTAGATTTAATTCAATCCAATAAGTTTAAATGAAATGCAAGAAAAAAATGCATATAATTTAATATTCCGTACAAGGAAGTCGTGGTGTACAAATGCATATAATTTAATATTCCGTACAAGGAAGTCATGTGGTCTGATGTGGTGTACACAACAGATTTTTTGTTTTGATGATGACAAACCAAACCAGCATTATAAACAATTTTAAAAATAAAAAAACTCATTTTCATAAAAAAAATCTCATTTCATTTAAAATTAAATCTTTTCATCAATTAAAGAAATTTAAACTAAAGAAAAAAGAAATGCAGTATTTGGCAATTTAACACTTGTGCTTAGCTAACAAATAAATAGCTACATATTTTGCAGGATTACTGGGTCCATACATAAGCCAACCCCTGTAATTTAGCTGCAGAATGCTGGTAATTATCATCAAAAAGTGTATCTTTCCCAGTGTATATAATAAGTTGATACACATAACCTGACTTCGATTCACATAAAATAAAACTTTTTATGCCGAATTGTGATCTCTTTAGAGGTATATACTGTTTCCAGTGTAATCTTCCCTTGTACAGCATCAAACTCTCATCAATTGTAACATCTCTTTCAGGTGTGATAGTTTCTCGGTAACAAGTATTCAAATGCTTGATGATTGGCCACAGTTTCTGCAGTTTTGGACACTCATGTGTTTTAGCATCAAATTCGGTATCATCAGAAAAATGTAAATACCGGTGAATAAGATAAAAACGTCAGTAAGACATAATTTTGGAAAAAAATGGATTTTAATGTCTCTTACTCCAGTATTGCTCAACATCAGGCTTTTTCACAATTCCTTGTAAAATATTCAAAGCAAGAAACACTTGAATTTCGCGCTTTGATGTTGGTTCCCATTTTTTTGCTCTGTTTTTCCTTCATAGATTACTACTCCGAATGGTCCGATCTGCATATTTATTGGTTTCAGAAACTATAATTTCAAGAAGATTATCATCAAAGAAAATATCAAGAAATTGTAGAGTTCCATTACTTAGATCAATATTTACATGAACAGCTGGATTTGCTGTGAATGGAAATCGAGGTGGAGGTGAAGGAGGATTTGTTATATCTAGTTCACAAAAGTTTCGAACTTGAGTTAGGTCATCCGAACTTTCCGTTTCCTCATCACTTGAAAAGTCCGAAAATGAACTTTCATTACTTCTGGAGTCATTTATAGAAATTTCAGATTCACTGTCTGATCCACTGTAAGAGTTATAATCTGTTATGAGATGTTCATTATCACTCATTCTTCTACTTTTCAGCTTCAAAAGAAATAGAATTTGCAGCGAGCTGTATAGTAAGCAGATTGAGTCAAAACAAAATTCGCAGCTTTCCCGTGTAAAAGAAAAACAATAAAAGATAAACTAGAAACCGGATTTGCAATCAGATCTTTACTGGACTACTAGAGCCATCTGTTAGAAGCACTGCAAACTAATCAAGCATAAAATTTGGGCAAAACGGTGTTCGGGCAAAACAGGGAAGTTGTTAAACATAAAGCATTACGAACCTTAACTATTTATTGAATTGTTTAAATGTGTTGTGTGCCGCTGTAGGTGAAAACAAAATTGTAAATGCATAGTTTTAAATGAGTGTCATTCTAGCCAACATGCGCCAAGACCGGCACCAAAAACATGATATCGCCAAATGCATTGAAAACATATTGTTCAAACAAGAAAAACAGTTAGTACTTAACAGATACATTTCTAATACTTCCAAGCCAGTTACAAAAAATCAACTCTGCTTGTGTGCACCATCATGTGCATCCAATATAAAATTGAACGACGATATTAAAACATAAATTTGATAGATTACAGTCCTCTTTCTATATATTCCTTTTTTTAAAAAAAAAAATTATACAAGCAATAATATATTTTAATTTTTTTTTTCTTGTTTTCACCATTTTTATTAAAAAAGAAATGCAGAAACAAGCACAAAAACTTAAATTTGAAATTCACTTTGAATTGAGTTTTACTTTTGTTAAAAAATAAGAAGTAATATCAGTTGGAAACAGCTAAATGTTTTCTTCTTCAAATGTTTCAATTTCTTTTGATTATTTAGGTTGATATTTTGTTGCTGCGCAATGTAAAGTGTATTATATGTTGGACCAGAATCATTTTCCTTTATTGATGTTAGAACGATTAAAACAATGACATGAAAGAATTCTAAGTATTAAATCAAAATGTTTTTGTGGTTCTGCACTTTTCATGAAACTAAATAGTTTAACATATTAGATATTTCAGCGTACAAGCCGAGAATTTTTGCAACTTATTATTAAGTCAAGTAGTGATGACACTTATGCAGCCACTATTGAATAAAGGATACTGCGTAATGACAGACAATTATTACACATCACCAGAACTTGCAGATATCCTTATCAACCATCAAACAGATATATATGGAACCCTCAAACTTACCAGAAAGGATGTCCCAAAACAATTACAGAAGAAAAAATTAAAATTAGGAGAAATCTGTGCGTACCAAAGAGGAAAAGTCTGTCTAATGAAATGGATAGATAAGAAAGCTGTATGTCTATTATCCACAATACACAACCCTATAATGATTGAAGTGCTATCTTACAAAGATGAAGTCAGAAAGAAACCAAAGGTAGTGATGGAATATAATAATACCATGGGATGTGTTGATAGAATGGATCAGCATCTCACCAATTATCCAGTCACAAAGAAGAGAGGAAAGAAATATTGCAAAAAAATATTCTTCCACCTTTTAGATGTATCGCTGTGGAAATGCATTCGTTTTATACCAGAAGCATGGAGGTAAATACTTCGCATTTGAATTTCAGACTTGATATAATTGATCGCCTGATTGAAAGACACAGGACTGTAAATGTAAAAAAAAGGACGACCAGGAATTTTGCCCAATCCCTTACGATTGACTGAAAGGCACTTTCTAGAAGTGATGCTCCCAGCGACAAAAAACTGAGACCAACGAGGCAGTGCTTTGTGTGCTGCTATGAAAGAAGACTTCGAAAAAAGAGTGAGAAAGAAACTAAGATATTTTTGTACCGACTGCGATTTGACTATGCTTGTCACCGTGTTTTAAAATTTTTTATACAAAAGCTGAATTTTAAAAGATTATTAGATGTAGTATAATAATAATTCTCTTTTCTAATATCCATTCTGTAAAGTTTTCCCAGATCGCTTATTTCACAGGAAAAAGCCAACTTTAAAAAATGTAATTTTCGTGTAAATAAAAATTATCATAACTTCTAAATTCAACAC